GAAAGCATTAGAAGTGGCAAATTTAATGAGAATCGAAGATTTTTGCGCAAGTAACGGATGACTGGAGAAGTTCAAACAAAGAACCGGCTTGTTTTTCGAACATTTCGCTTTGGTTGATGAAAACGTTGTCAAGTATAAGAACACTGGAAGAAATTATAGCTGATAACAAAGTTAATGATCGTTTGGAAATGTCTTTGGAAAGAGATATCGACAAAGTACTTGAAGTGGAAGAGCCCATTTCACGGGTCGAGGCCTGTCAACATTTGCAAATGTTTCGAAATTATGCAAGAAAGGACTCGAAAAAAAAAGTTCTCCAAGATTTAAATACCATTGATAACTTTTTTTATAACCAGTCTGTTGTTAGCAGTAAACAGACAAGTTTAAATGCCTCGAAACTTTGGGGATTGTTAATTTGTGTTTGTTTTGGTTGAGAATTACTTGTTTAAAAGTGACTTTATGTGATTTGTTGTTAAACTTTTCAATAAATTACTTGAAAAACCTCTGCACAACGTTATCGGTTGAGAACCTGACGTTTTTTGTTTCTCTATAACCATAGTCTGGTCCCTACCCCGAGATGTGTCGTTATAGAAAGGTTTGACTGTAGTTGGTTTCCTTTTGGAGAATTTCGAAACTTCTAGCTTAAACCCCCCCCCTCGGGGGAAAAAATTTAAAAAAAAACCCAAATTTTAAATTTTTTAAAAACTCAAATTTATAATTTTATTAATTTTTTTTTTTTTAATTAATAAAAAAAAATTCTTCAAAAAAAAAATTTAATTTTTAAATTTTTTTTTTAAAAAAAAAAAAAAAAAAAAAAAAAAGCAATCGATTTACCCTGTCAATTTGTGCATTTTTGAAATGGATTCCCAAGTCCCAAGATCCACAAAAATGCAAAAAGCTTACGGCACTCGGGATTCCCAAGCCGTCTCCGATCCAAGTACTAACCGAGCCCAACGTTGCTTAACTTGGCAGATCAGACGGGATGCCGTGTTTTCAACGTGGTATGGTCGTAAGCGAGTGTGTTGCTGAGAGAGACGGCTGAAATAGGCGGCCGCGAACACGAGAGAGCATCAGCCCTCGCAGAGACGCGAGAAGACACGACTGTGTGTACCTTTCTTGGGTCTCGTAGAGAAAAGCGGCACCTGGCACACGGCTCGTCCAGATAGCGCGACAGAGACCCCACTCTTCGGTTTAATTACCCAAGTTTGAGGTTAGCATTAACCCCGAGACCTCCCAACAGTGTCTCGAAAAAATTTTGGAACGCGTCCCCACTAGGGGATGCACAATTGAGCTCGAAAATGTAAAATCAGTTGTTATTGATTTATCAAGAAATTTGTCAACTCTTCACTTCACGTTCAGTGAAACGGTGCCGCGAAACCACACGGGAAATCGTCCACTATATGGTGGAGAAAATTTTGAAAAACACGGCCTCTTCCTAGGGCTGAATCATTTTGTCGTTTTCAGATGAGTGAAATTTTTAAGATAATAGCGATTTTCTTTGATTGAATCTCATCATTTGAGTTTAAAGAACAAAAACCGAAAGATGACCGATTCGTTCTTATTTTTCTAAAATTATCAAAAGAAATTACTGTATGGAAGGAAAATATGCTTTTTTAAATATTTAATTGGCAAAAATAATGTTCTACGTCTAACGTGCCCTTTAATGAAATCCCATGAGAAATCTAAAAAGCGAGATCAATTTTACCGAAATAAAAGGGTGAATTTTCCCTGAACAAAGACGAATTTTCAATATTTCGTGAAAATCGTGTGATGGATGCATCATCATGCCCAGAAATCTCGAAATACACGACGAATCCTTTCCTCCGCTCAGCGATCATCTCCCAAGCTGTTCTCAGCATTCTCTCGATTTTCGGAATTTTCGGCACTTTTCGTCGAATTCTCTCCTCGATTCTTATCGATTCGGCGTTTAAAGAGCATCTCTTTTTGTGCTATCTCATACACTTTATTCAGAACTTTTTCACTGCGATATTACAGGTAATGGTAAGGGAAAAGGTAATGGTAATGGTAATGGAAATGGTAATGGTAATGGAAAATGTTCAAGATCTTGTTTATGAAGAGAATAGAAGCTTGTAAATGTAAATTGGATCTGTTTAACAAGGGAAAGCTTTGAGTAAAATGAGTGTTTCAAATGGGCTTTCAAGTCTTTGTTCTTTGTTGACTGGGCTTGACTTGGAACGTCTGATAGTTCTTTGTGGACTGGGCTTGACTTTCCCTTTAGAAATTCCCTTGAAAACTTGATTCAATGCATTTGTCGTGTTTGAAAATCACTCTCAAATTGCTCATCAGAGCTGGAGAAATGGAAATTCTAAAGCCACAAGCCAAAACAAGAAATCTCGCTATCCAAGAAAGCCAAATTCACATTTTGACCATTCTTGCTCTTCACTGTAGGCATTCTACTGACATTCTACTGAGAAAGATCAAATTTTCAGTCAACTCTCCTGTTCCAATACCTGACTCAACCTCCATGTCTTGCTCTAATCTCTTCATATCTTTGCTCTTCTCTTCGTTTTGCTTCAATATTTTCAGTCTTCTCTCTACCGTTGCTCAATCTCGGTCTTTCCGTTTATCGGATTATCACATTTATTGGGATCTTTGAGAGCAAAAATGATAAAATAATTAGACGAATTATATCGATTATTACGGTAAGTGAAATTAAATTTTTTTCTAAATCGTGAAAACTTTCAAAAACTATCGTAATCTAGCTCTAGATTCGATAAAAAAAGACAATAGTACGGTAGTTTTTAAAACCAATTAAATTTTAATAGAAACTGACCAATTTTTCCAGATTCTCGGCTCTTGTGGAGAATTTTATTGGAAGCTGAGTGGTGTTGAAATACCCGGTGGTGAAGTCCCATATTGTATTGGGAATTTGAAAGGATTAGCCGAGAAATTGAACACCGAATCGCTGATCACTGGCGTCTTCGAAGTGATCACGATTTTGAGCGCTTTTGTGCTCTTGGCATTGTATGAGAGGGAGAATAGGTTTCAGTTTAAAAGTATTCCAACAAATTAATATCATTCAGACTTCGAAAATCTTATGATATTTCGGTGAACTTGAAACGACGACAGTTGATTTCAACCATGGGATTGTTTCTTCCATACAGGTGATTATGAATTTCAAACGTCAGCTTCTTTATTCTTTACACTTATGTGGGTGTTAGTAATAAGCCCAGACTTGGGTAATTGAACCGACCTTGGGAGTCTCTTTCATCACTACCTATCTAGCCCGTGTGCCAGAAAGTGCGCGATTGTGCGCTCCCCCAAAGTACACTTCAGCTTTTACCACAATTTCAGCTAGAATTTTCGAAATTCTCCAAGAAAACTTTCTCCAGCCTTGGGTAATTGAACCGACCTTGGGAGTCTCTTTCATCACTACCTATCTATCCCGTGTGCCAGAAAGTGCGCGATTGTGCGCTTCAGCTTTGGGTAATTGAACCCAGCTTGAGAGTCTCTTTCATCGCTACCTATCTATCCCGTGTGCCAGAAAGTGCGCGATTGTGCTCTCCCCCAAAGTACACGTCAGCTTTCACCACAATTTCAGCCAGAATTTGAATTTGAATTTAATTCTCGAAAACTTTCTCTGACAACTTTCACTAATCTCCTTTAAATTCAGCATCTTCCATGGCCTTTGTTTCTTTTCTTATTCAATCATCTCTATTATTTATCGAGAAATATTTCTCAACCTGGAAGAACCATGGTATTCTGCTGGATCAGGACACATTTTTGTAAATAAAGCAAAAAATTTAAATGATCAAAGAAATTCTCAGGCTCCTCGCTATTTCACAGCGATCTCCCCATGGGTTCTTTATTGGATTGTGGTGAAAAGCGAGAAGAGACGAATCTCGACAATGAGAGATTTAATCGAATTGGAGAATCAGGCGAAAAATGTTTATTTTGATCATTATAATTTGCAGTGGAATGGAAAAAAGAAATCAAAATCGTCGCTTTTCTTTCGAAAGTTCAGCACAAAAGTTGATTTTTTAATGAATAAATATTTTGTTCCTGTTTGTCAATAAATATTTTTGGATCTGATGTTCGTCGTTTTAGCATTTTCATGTCTTTCAGAGTTCGTAGTTGTTTTCTTATGAAGAATTTCGGAACTTCTTCCTGAAATTGCGGAGCAATCTGAGTGTCGGAGGTGTACTTTGAAAGGGCCCACAATTCCGGTGCATGGGGCAGATGGTTAGCGAGAAGGAGACCGTCAAAGTCGGTTTAATTACCCAAGTTAGAGGTTAGTATTAAACCCAAGACCCACTTAGGTGTCTCGAGAAATTTTGGAACGGATTTCCCTTTTGGGAAGCCCACAAAACTCAACAATTCGATCACTTTGATTCTTCGATCCTTTTTTGAAGATCTAATCTAAAATCAAATCTAAATCCCTACAGGTTGATTTTGTAAGTTGTATACTGTAAAGCTCCGAGAATAAAGAAAATAAAGTTGAAAATTCAAAAAGCGATCAATTTACCCTGTTAATGATTCCCAAGTCCCAAGCAAGATCCACAAAAATGCAAAAAGCTTACGGCACTCGGGATTCCCAAGCCGTCTCCGATCCAAGTACTAACCGAGCCCAACGTTGCTTAACTTGGCAGATCGGACGGGATGCCGTGTTTTCAACGTGGTATGGTCGTAAGCGAGTGTGCTGCTGAGAGAGACGGCTGAAATAGGCGGCCGCGAACACGAAAGAATTGCTCTACCCAACATGACTCTCAATTGTCCGTAAGATTATTTTTGCTTTTTACATCTCTATAAGGTAACATAAAATAACAGGAAATATTTATTGGACAATCTTTTTTCTTTTCTTTTCAATGCGATATAGCAAAAAGACACGTTAATCGTTTCGTTTTTTCGGGAAACAAAGAGAAAAAATGAAAATGAGATCAGAAAAAATGAGACTCGACTAAAGCACCCAAATCGTTTTGGAAATTTGCAAAAATATACAGAAAATAGAATTTTTGCGAGCAATTTTGTGAAGGTTTTTGCTATTTCCTCTTGATCAAGCACTGAATTGGCGAGTAGAAACACGGTCGGAAGCGTTTCACCTAAAAATATAGACTGTAAACTGGTTAAAGCTGAAAAAACATTGGTTTACATGACTCGGTGCTAGCCAGCTTAAAGCCAGCCAGCCAGCTTCAAGCCAGCCAGCCCAAGCCAGCCAGCCAGCTCAAAGCCAGCCAGCCAGCTCAAAGCCAGCCAGCCAGCCAGCTTAAAGCCAGCCAGCCAGCCAGCCAGCCAGCTTAAAGCCAGCCAGCCAGCCAGCCAGCCAGCTTAAAGCCAGCCAGCCAGCCAGCCAGCTTAAAGCCAGCCAGCCAGCCAGCCAGCCAGCTTAAAGCCAGCCAGCCAGCCAGCCAGCCAGCTTAAAGCCAGCCAGCCAGAGCCAGCCAGCTTAAAGCCAGCCAGCCAGCCAGCCAGCCAGCTTAAAGCCAGCCAGCCAGCCAGCTTAAAGCCAGCCAGCCAGCCAGCCAGCCAGCTTAAAGCCAGCCAGCCAGCAAGCCAGCCAGCCAGCTCAAAGCCAGCCAGCCAGCCAGCTTAAAGCCAGCCAGCCAGCCAGCCAGCCAGCTTAAAGACCAGCCCTGCTTTTTGTGACTCTTACGCAAAGAGTACTTTCTTTTTAGTTGACCATTTTCAATTTTTACATTTACATCTCATATCCTCAACCTCCACGTTATCAAAAGCTTTAAAATAATGTTTCCACAAGATTGAAACTCTTTTAATCTCACAAATGAATCCATTTAATGCCCAAACCTTGTCAACAGACGCTTGATTGGTGTTCGACATTTTCTGGAGTGAATCCATCCTTCCACCGGATCTGATCCGTCCCGTCAAGGCTCGACCTCGGAACTCATCCGGGTATTGACCCTCAATATATCTAAAAGGAAAATTTTCTTAACATTTATAAGCATTTCATAATGTTTTGTTCTTTCTCTTCATTAAAAGTGCTTTAGAAAATGAATTCTTTTCATGGGAAATCAAAAATTCGTCAAATTCGCCCCCCGACTTTTTGTCGTGTGATTCTCAAATTCGACGGGAAACCAGGAAAAAAAAAATTTGGTTAAATTATTTATTTTTATTTCATTTTTTTCATTTTTTCTTTTAATTTAAAAGATTTTGAAAGCAAAAATGCAAAGTTTTTCTGAATTTTATGCCTTTAAAACTTTGAATTGTGATATCAAAAGATCTGGCTTAGAATAAAAAAAATAAAGTTCAAATAATTTGCTACAGATTGTAGCTTTCCCTCTAAAATCATGATAATTTGAAAAGCATTTTACTTTAGTTTAAAGCTTTGACGGTTTCGAGTGTTGTACTTTATGCTCTAAACCCATTCTGCATTTTCTCCTGAAACAAACTCGTTTCGTAAGAAAAAAGACGAATCAAGAGTGCGCCAGAAAGAGTGCGTTTCCATCTAGTTTTCGAGATTTCGAGAAGAATTGAAAATGGTCAACTTTAAACGCGAAAATCTCGAAAACTAAATAGACAACCGTTTTTCATTTTCCTCTGCTCCCCTATTCAAATTTCCTCTACTTTCTAAGAAACATAACGTTACTTTTGTAAGATCAATTATTTAGACCTAAAAACTCCTTTTATTCAGACATTATTTATAAAAAAAATATAATTTCTTGATCGGAAATTGATTGGGAGTAGGAGGGAGGGCCGTTTGAATGAGAGTCGCCAAATCCTGGCTACGCCCCTGGAGCGATGATTTCGTTTCGCAGGAAAAATAAAGAATTGAATGCGCCAGAAAGCCCCTACATCGAATTGAAGAACTGAGTTGTTACGTTGAACGAGGAAAGTAATGACGAGCAAGGAACTACGATAACCGTGAGTACTTTATTCTTTATCAAACTAATCTTTAGTACGTATAGAATGAAGAATTGAGTGCGTCGGAAAGAATGCGTTTCCGTCTGTGAGCACAAAGTACAAATTTAGTCACATATAGCACAGAGTTTAACAAAGTTTTGCAAGCTTCTCCAACTGGACTCTATTTTGCAAAGTTCTTGTTGAAAAACGGATATTATCCGCTTCGAGTTTCAGATTGAGGGCGCTGTTGGGAATCGAATTTGAACGCGATTCGGTCATCAAAAAAAGAGAAGAAAAGATATTCAGTCAAAAAGGAGAAAAGAAAAGATATTCAGTCAGAAGAGAGAAAAGAAAAGATATTCAGTCAAATCGAATGACAACTGCCTCGATTAGGCTCCTTATCCTTTAAGGGGAAAGGGGAAATGAAAGGATATTTTAAGGAGTGGGACAAAAGCGACCTTTTTTTAGCGCATCCGGACATTTGCGCACATTTTTTCGCGCACCCGGCCCATGAGCGCACCTTTTTTCGCGTTTTTAGCTCTAAAAAGCTAATATTAACCAATTTCCAATCCAAAAGATGTTTTTCTGGGTAATTTGAGGGCGTAGAATCCAAATTTTGACATATCAGAGCTTATGGAACCTATTGGAAAGATAAAACGGGTAGGTCAAAAGGTCAAAAGAAAATTGTCGATTTTTTTTCGATAATTCCGTCCGTTTGCTTTCACAAGCTCTAATATGTCAAAATTTCGATTCTGCACCCTAAAATCACCCAGAAACACCAGAAAAACAACTTTTGGAATGGAAATTGGTTAATAATATTAATTGGTTAATAATAATATTAGCTTTCTAGAGCTTTTTTAAAAGCTGGTGCACCTAAAAAGGTGCGCTAATGGGTCGGGTGCGCAAAAAAAGGTACGCAAATGTGCCACTTCAATATTTTGAGGCCAAATCAACTCTCGGTCTTAACCATTAGAAAACTCATAAAAAAAAAAGAATAAGAAAAGGTCCCTTACTTGTTAGAATTTCACTAGACAAAACTAGCTCTCTAAACATTTGAAAAATCCTGCTAAAATCTGCTGTACATTGAGAAGAACACGAAACTCGGTGCCCCAGAACTCTTCAGAACTCCAGAACTTTTTACAAAACTCTTCAGCTTAAAGTACACAAAAAATAAATCTAACTATGAGTTTTTTGCATCTACTTACACATTCGAAACCCTGAGCTTTCCCACCTACTCAAAAGGGATCAACGACTTTAAATAATTAGATTTCGTGCTTTCTTTTCCCTTCCAGACTCAACAAAACCCATTGTTCTTGATTTCTTTGCACGTTGTGGCCTTTCATCTAAATATTTTTTGTTGAAAAGGAACGAATTCTCAATTTTCGTCTCTCATCTAGAAGCGAGTTCTGAGATTTTTTTCAGTTTGTCGATCATTTTCCCACATTAGCCTCAATTTCAAGAGATTAATGCTCAGATTTTCTCAAGATTTGTGTAAAAATTCATGAGTTTTCCTGCAAGTTCACCATATTTTCTAATTTGTTTGATAATTTCGTTTGCTTGAAGTCAGTTGGAGTGTTGGATGAAGTTGAAATGCTCAACCCAAGGAAAACTGTGTCAACTAATAGTAAAACTGTCGTGCTTTTAAAGTTTAAAACTTTGAAATCTTCTACCGAAGTTATCAGCAAAAGAAAGCTCTTGACAACTAAAGTTTTGAAAAGTTACAGCTTACACAAATGTGATCGACTTTGTGATCGACTTTGTGATCGACTTTGTGATCGACTTTGTGATCGACTTTGTGATCGACTTTGTGCTCAACGCCTTGCAACACACATTCTTTTTGACGCTTTTTGATGCATAACAAGATTTTACAGAGAAAAATCGGGATTTTGGTGTGCCAGAAGAGATGTGTTTGCGTTGGCACAACAGTAAACAAGTGTAGACACAGGATTTTTGTTCATGGAGCTAATTTAATCTAGTCACGCTTATGAAAACTAAAGCCAGAAATAGCAAAACGTTTTGAAAGTTTAAAACTTTTATTTTCTACTCTACATTGGTCAGCTCGTGAACAATAATCTCTTTAAATTTCCCCCACTAACAAATAAACTCACTTGTACGGAGCGGCCAAATAGAGATTCGGGTAGAAAGCGTGCGATAGACAGAGAAACGAGAAAATGAAAAGAAGAATGACAAGGGAACGCATTGCCGAAGGAATTAATTGAAGGAGATCGGTGGAAAGATTTGAAGACTTCAGCTAGGGGACACTCGGATCGAGCGTGAATACTGTGAAGAGTTGAGGATTGAGGGTGGAGCTCTCATCTCAGTCTCTCACCCTCTCACCCTCTCACCATTTAGCCCCGCCCCTTTTCCCCTGGAATCCTCAATCAGTGGAAATCTCTCTTCCGAATTTCTTTATAAAATCTACTGGCCTTAGGGAATTTTAAAGCAAAGAAATCCTTGCCAAGAGTGCAATCAAATTTGGGAACAGTTTTGGTTGAGGTTTGTCACGAGACTTGACGTCAACCACTTCACTATGGGATAAACTTTGAATTTCATAGGTCATTTCACTAAAGCACACTCTTCAGCACATACTAAACAGCATAGAATAGCGATAACTTAAAATCTAAAGAAGTTATTTAAAAACTGTAAATGTTTAGCTAACTTTTGGTGTTTAACTTATGAAATAAAATTAATCAGGAAGCTTTTAGAGAGAATTCGAAAAAGGATAGAACTTTGTACTAAGATTGTTTGTACTTTGTTTGTACTAAGATTGAAATGCAAGTGCTAGTTTAACGAGTCAAAGTTGAAGAATGTTTTAAATGGGATCTAGACTTGGGATCTAGACTAGAAGCAAGGCTAAATCTAGGGCAAAATTAGATCTAAGTCAGTCTTATGATCAAAAATATTAGATCTAAGTCAGTCTTATGACTTTTTCAAAAAGAATTTCTGCTTTTTAAGCTTACTCGGAATCAGTATTGGAAAAAGATACACTAGATTTAAAAGCATCACTTGCCAAGTGACCATTGAATTCTCAAGCTTAATGAATCATCAGTAAAGCGCTAAAAGACTTCTTTAAGCTATTTTATAGTCCTTTTTTTTCATTTTTGATATAACGATGACATCAATAGTCTGTTTTCTTTCGTTGAATGGAGTGACATTTGACAAATTTGATCGGAAGTTCGCTTTTCTTCGAGGAGGATCATGAAAGGCTCAAATTCTTTTGTGAAAAATCTCTCCCGAACACGAGAAATCTTGATTTGCTTTCAATTGCAAGATCTCAAGATACAAATTTCAAAAAACAAAGTTTTTATTTGTCACGTGGAAACAAAAAGCTTGTTGAATCAGTTCTTTATTGGGATTTTATCAGCTTTTACTGGTGATATGATATGAATGAAATCATTTCAAAAATGAGGCCAAAAAGGTTTTTTTCGTTAACGGAAAAGCGACTGACAAGATCAATGTGTTGGGTAGGGAAATTCTTTTGGATTAGATTCAAAAAGGATTCAATTGCCAATGTCAGGATCGAATTGCTGACTACGAGATTTGTGGACTTCCCAAAGGGGAAATCCGTTCCAAAATTTCTCGAGAGTTTCGACAGCTCCCCGGTTAAAAACGAAACGATTAACGTGTCTTTTTGCTATATCGCATTGAAAAGAAAAGAAAAGAAAAAAGATTGTCCAATAAATATTTCCTGTTATTTTATGTTACCTTCTGGAGATGTAAAAAGGCAAAAATAATCTTACGGACAATTGAGAGTCATGTTGGGTAGAGCAATTCTTTTCGATTAGAATTTGCAATTTAGAAAGATTCCAAATGCTGAGATTTGAGGATTTCAAAGCAAAGCAGTAAAGCAAACCAAAGAATCAAAGCTTCACATCGTTCCTTTCAGTTCATTTGTGCATCCCCTAGTGGGGACGCGTTCCAAAATTTTTTCGAGACACTGTTGGAAGGTCTCGGGGTTAATGCTAACCTCAAACTTGGGTAATTAAACCGAAGAGAGGGGTCTCTGTCGCGCTATCTGGACGAGCCGTGTGCCAGCTGCCGCTTTTCTCTACGAGACCCAAGAAAGGTACACACAGTCGTGTCGTCTCGCGTCTCTGCGAGGGCTGATGCTCTCTCGTGTTCGCGGCCGCCTATTTCAGCCGTCTCTCTCAGTAGCACAATCGCTTACGACCATACCACGTTGAAAACACGGCATCCCGTCCGATCTGCCAAGTTAAGCAACGTTGGGCTCGGTTAGTACTTGGATCGGAGACGGCTTGGGAATCCCGAGTGCCGTAAGCTTTTCGCTTTTTGTGGAGACTTGGAAATCAATTTAATGGGGTAAATCGATTGCTTTTTGAATTTCCAACTTCTTTATTCTCGGAGCTTTTCTCTATACAACTTACAAGATGAATGTGTTGGGGAGAGGGTGCTTTTGGACTAGGGGTTTGGGCCCCGCCCCCCCCCCCCATTTCTCTCCCCCCCCCCCCCCCCCCCCTCCTTTTTTTCTCCTTCCCCCCCCCCCCATTCCCCCCCTCCCCCCCCCCTTTTTTTTTTTTTTTTTTCCCCCCTCTTTCCTTCCTTTTTTTTTTTTTTTTTCCCCCCCAACCCCCCCAATAAAAAAAAAAAACCCCCCCCCCCTTTTTTTTTTTTTTTTTCCCCCCTTTCTCCCCTTTTTTTTTTTTTTATTTAATTTAAAAAAACCCTATATTTTTTTTTTTCCCATTTCCAAAAAACCCCCCCCCCCTTTTTTTTTTATTTTTTTTTTTTTTTTTTTTTTTTTTTTTTTTCCCTTTCTTTTCGCGCGCGTTTTTTTTTTTTTTTTTTTTTTTTTTTTTTTTTTTTTTTTTTTTCCCCCCCCCCCCCCCAAAAAACCATTTTTTTTTAAAAATTTTAATTATATTTTTTAAACTTTTTTTTTTTTCCGCCCCCCCTCCTTCTCCCCAACAATGATGCTCAAAGTGATCGAATTTTTGAGTGTTGTGGACTTCCGAAAAAGGAAATCCGTTCCGAAATTTCTCGAGACACGTAAGTGGGTCTTGGGTTTAATACTAACCTCTAACTTGGGTAATTAAACCAACTTTGGTGGCCTCCTTCTCGCAATGCATCTACCGGGTGTGCCAGAAGACGCGCGATTGTGGGCCCCTTCCAAAGTACACCTCCCACACTCGCATTTCACGACAATTTCAGCTAGAATTTTCGAAATTCTTCGAGGAAACAGCTACTCAACATCAAAAAAGATCCAGCGCTATGTATTCCTGTCAATTTGCTTGGAAAATTGCTCAATATTTCTTGAATCTCACAGATATTTTCTCGCAGAAAGAAACCCTTTATTTCATGCATCGATTTATGTGAGCTTTGAAAAACTCGGAGAAAAAAATTTCCAAAAACATACAAAACTATAAAATTTTCGCAGAAAAACCCGTTTTGCTTAAAAAGATTGGAAGTGACAGCAATTGATGAGAGAAATTTCGCAAATGAAATGGAGAAAAAGAAAAGTAAAAAATCTCAACGAGGATAACCCGGATGTCCGGAAAAGTCAAGATTTTTAGTTAAATGTGCAAAAAATCGCAAAAAAAATCGCAAAAAACAAGAGGAAATCTTCAAAGATTTGTAGGAAAGATGAAATTTTGCAACAAAATTAGTGTTTGAAGATGTGAGACAACTTCTTGATGAGCGATTTTTTCGATGAAGATGACGATTCATCAGAGGAGCCGGATGAGGACACCTGGAAATCGAATTGGATTCAATTTGAGTTCAATTTGAGTTCAATTTCTATATTTTTAAAATCTACAGCTTATATTATCGAATTTGAATTCTTTTATATCATTTGTGTTGTCAAAAAACAATTTCTTTCTTCCAAACAGACTCAACAGACTCATAGCTTTCACAAATTACGATCTTTACCCTTTACAATTTTTGCATTTTGATATAAAATAAGTTCTAGATCTCATATATAAGAAAAATTTCTTTTTAAACCATTTCTTCTAAAAATTTAAGTCAAAATAAGCAGTTAAGACAAGCTGTTAAGTCAAGCTGTTAAGTCAAAATAAGCTCTTAAGTCCTTTCACGTCTTTCAGATAAATAAATTTAAATCTAATACTTTGTAGAGGATATTGTAGAGTAGATTTATTGCTTCTTCTTTCATTTCATTACTAACCTGTCGACTGAAATGCCTCTTTTGTTGCTCTTCCTCTTGATGCATGATGGAGAGGAGTTGAGCGGCGAAACGACGCTGCGAATCCACAAAGGATCGGGAACATCCGTGACGGCAAGAGCTCTAAATAAAGATTAAAATTGAAAAAAGTTAGAATTATCTATTTTTCTATAGCTTTTTAATGATTATCTTATATTTTTATCGTAACTTTCGACTCACTTGATTTCCTTTTGAAAATGACGAATCCGCGGTGAGCTCAGGAGCGAATCGAGTCACTTTTCCTTCACAGCACTTCATCTAGAAAAAATAAAAATTAAATGCTAATTGCTTAAATGATATTCAATGAATGAATTGAATTGAAAATATGAATTGAATGTGCGAATTGTTGGAAGAAATGGGACAAGAAACTTTAAGCAAACAAACAACTCTAGCAAAGAAGGCAGAAAGGAGTCATACGGAGGGGTGATTTCTCAAAGGGAAAAGAGAGTAAATAAAAAGAAAATTCGCATCTTTGATAAATCTGGAAAATAATATTGTGATTGCGAAAAAAGGGGGGAGTTTGGGAATGCGAATAGGACAAAAAGTTGAAGTTTTGTTTGGAAACATTCGAAAGTTTCATCATAAAGACGAGGAGATCCTTTAGCTAATTGTTTAAAGCTTTAAAGTATAGCAATGTAGCCGGCAATGCAATAGTAACCGGAAGAAAAAAGCTGAATATCTTTAAATTCTTTAACTAAACTGAGCTAAACTAAAAACGTCAAGCTTGAGTGGCACTATTTAAGCTCTAGACAAGCGCGCTGCCGACTGCGCAACGGAGAAGAGCAAATGCGTTGTAAAATGATGCCTTACATCCAGCCGACTCTAATAAACAAAGTAGATCTTTGGTCGGATCTATTCATAACTAAGATAAAATTGGATCCACCGGAAACTTTACCCTAAAGACAAACCCAAAGGTGAGAAGGGGAATCGCTGAATTACCCCTTTATAAAGGGTAATCGTAAAGAGAGATAGCCAAAAAAGGAAATCATCTTGTGCTTCTCTCATTTCTCTTTTCACCTCACCAATCCTATCACTTTTCTCCCTTTTCTCCTATCACAAAAAGGTGATCCTCTATATGGGCAGAGTCTCACACACACAAACGACTGATCGAAGTCGATTGAGCCGCCGAGTTGAGCGGTCAATGAGATGTCTCTCTTGTCTCTTTTCGGAGTGAACGCCCAATCTTTTTTTGGAAAAGATCATGATACCTCTCAAAATACGAAACAAATTTCGATGTCGTAAACCTCGATTTGCTCTGTCGCTTTCCCTGACTCTCGTGGAGTTTCCCGGCTCACAATCCCGGCTCACTGAATACATTGATAAATTTTTGAGTCCTGGGAAAATCATTGAAACTAACGTGTTGAAGATTTACAACTTTGCATAGAGTCAACTCTTGATTTACTCTTGTTTCGTGTCTGAAAAAAACAAAAATTATTCAAGTATGGCTAGATCTGGTTTTTTCAAGTCATTCTAAAACGGGATAACTATAGAAACGACCGTAAGACTGTATTGTATTGTTAAATGAATATTGCTTGCGCTTTAAAGCATGCTATAGCTACTATAATCCCGTACCCTACCCAGCATAGCTCTTCATGTCTTTAACTAAAGTGATTCGTTACCGTAATCTGCTATATTTTATACTACCTGGGTTACGGTAGCTGGCTTTATTGTACTGACTGGGTTACGGTAGCTGGCTTCACTGTACTGACTGGGTTACGGTAGCTGGCTTTTTCCCAGCGGCTCGTCGACTGGGCTCGGTACTGCTGCTGGCTACTGTCACCTGGCGGTGCTGGCTTCATGTACTGGCACGGGCGGCCTGCGCCTGGGCACGGTGCTCCATTACTGCCGTGGTAGCTGGCTTCACTGTACTGCCTGGGCTACGGTGGCCAGTTCAGGCTACCATAACCCTATCGAATTGACGTTCAGATTGCAATTTAATTAGTTATCCGGTTTATTTAAAACCTCAGTTTAACTCTCAAGATGATTTCGTTACTTTCAAGCTTTTTTTGTCCACAATCTATTCTTGTTTACATCAACATTGTTACTAAATTTGGAAAAGGAAAAATCACGACACGTGTTTTCCCGGATTCAGGGAAAATGAGAGCAACAATGATAAGGAAAAGTGAGGCTGGGATGTGTCACTTTTGATATCACTTTGATCGTATGCAAATTTGGTAAACTCATAGTTCAAAGGACTAACCTTAAAACGATTAGCCTTAGATTAGATTAGAAAACAAATAGTATGATCAAAGTTTAAAAAATTGGTTTAATGGTGTAAAAGCATCAGAAGGGGTTCTTCTGATGTAAAAGCAATGATCAAAGTACGTTAAAAGTAATGTTACAAATAGTATTATTATAGTATTACAGTAATGCAGTCTAAAAGTTCTTCTAAAAGAACCAACCTTTTTCTCCTTGGTGTACTTTGTGCTCGAAATTGTAAACGCACCACTTCTGCCGCATGGAATCCTTCATCTTTCTTGTAGCGACACTTAGGGAAAGAAATGAACAATCAAGTGCGCTAGAAAGGGTGCGTTCTAGTTGTTAAGCACAAAGTGCACTATGGAGAATAGAGCTTGTAATGTCAAGAAATGAAAAATTAAATTTTTAAAACTTCATTAGGTGGCGAGTGTTTTGAAGGAGAAATTCGTTAAATTAGCATTTTTTTTGCGTGACTTCACTCCAAAAAGAACAAATTTGTTTGTGACAAATCCTTACTCCAAAGAAACAAAAACGAGAAGAATCAGAAAACACTTGAGCGTGGAAAATCTAGTTTTCTCTCCTTTTTCCTAACGATTTTTGCATAAAAAAAATCGGCTAACTTTTGAAGATTTCCAATGATCGAAAGGGGAATTTCAGTGAAACTGTCAAAACTGACATTTTAAAGTATTTTGGTGCTTGGTTTTAGAAAGATTCGATTAGTGGTTTCATTTTGAAGTCATTGTAAACATTTTTTAAAGGTTTTTAAGTCACGTGTCGGATGGTTGAATCATTGATGATCATCGATGTTTGAGGGAGAAGCTTGTTTCGAGAATTTCGAAACTACCGGTACTAGCTGTACTAGCTGTACTAGCGGTACTAGCTGCAATGCCGGTGAAATGTGAGTGTGGAAGGTGTACTTTGGCGGGGCGCACAATCGCGTCTCTTCTGGCACACGAGGCAGATATATACCGAGAAAGAGACGCGTAAAAATTTGGTTTAATTACCCAAGTTAAAGGTTAGTATTAAGCCCGAGACCCACAGAAAGTGTCTCGAGAAATTTTGGAACGGATTTCCCTTTTCGGAAGTCCACAAATCTCATATTCAGCAATTCAATGACTTTGAATCCCTTATGAAGCTCTAATCCAAAAGAATCCCTCTACTCAACAGATTATTTCTGTAAGTTGTATACTTTAAAGTTCCGAGAATAAAGAAACTAAAGTTGCAAATTCAAAAAAGCAATCGATCGACGGCTGAAATAGTCGACCCCAGTCTTACAGTTTACCAAATTGAACTTCGACACTTAACTTTGTACTTTACAAATTTTCTATCAATTGCCTTGTAATTTTCCTTCATTTTCCTTCACGCTTTTTCTCATTGTTATAATTTAATACAAACAATTCGCTCAATTTATTGCCTAGAATGAAAGACCTTGAACAGTTGAACTGGAGAAAGGAAAAAGGCACCACAAAAGAAAAATAGCCAACAGCGATGTGAATGAGAAAAAGAGATGGGTGGGAAAGTGATCAAGTACAGAGAGCACTTAATGATCGCTCAATTAGGAGAATGGGGGGATAAAAGAAAATGGAACAGGAAGTCGGGTTTTCAGTGAGTTTCTTTGGATCTCAAGGAATTTGAGTCTGAAATTTCGAATCGATAAGTGAAAACTAAACTGTGTTACAACTTAAGTGCTTAGGTACGCATCGGGTGTAATTTGGGTACTTTTGTATCCTTGCCCCGCCAGCCAAAATGCAAATTTCCCTCAGATGTCTTGGTCAAGCCAACTCATTGGCCTTGGCTTTAGTTACAGTTTGTCGAATTTTTGATTCGACAACATAGTTATCTGGTAGTTTATCAAGTTTGAACTGTCTATAATCCACCTGTTGAGGGCACATCGTTGTTAAAATGTTAAAATTTTGCATCGTACATCGACATTCAGGTATTTAAGAGCCCAACAGACTCTAACAGATCCTCCAAATTTGAATTTGTTATTTTCCATAAAATTCTTCTGCAATATTGCAGAAGTCTCAGTACGAGTCTTCTCAGTACGAGTTCTTCAAAGTCTTGGTGGGGCCCGTATGCCGCCGCCGATCATAAAGAATTCCTCGCGTCTTTGGCTTATAAAAAAGCCAAATTGGCTTCTTTTTCGAACAATTTGAAGTCTGGAGGAAATCAATCATTAATGAAATCGTTGTCGAAGAGTGCAACCAATGGAAAGAAACGTATCTTTTTTGCGGTTTGATCAAAATTTACCGGATTAACAAAATTTTAACCTTTTTAGGTTCTTCTGCCAAACGAAAAAGCGAAAAGGATGAGGAATCTGATGATGATTTCATTGACCATTCAAAAGAGGTACGAGTGTCAAAGCCATAAGTTGTCCATTTACCGTTTTATGTAAAGATACGAGAAGAAACTAAAGACGAATAAGTTCTTGACGGAAAAGTTTTCGAATCATTTCTTCATTTGCTCATTTCATTTGCGCAAGCCGTTGGGAGTGGGAAAACTGGGCAAAAAATTAGCGAGGGAAAAAATTAGCCTTACAATTTGCGCACCTTTTTCTACATTATTCAGGTCAAGCTGCAAGAAAACTTCTAATTTGTGAGAAATGCGTTTTTCCTTTGTTTAAGCTCGTGTTAGTGTTCGCGTTCGTGTTTTCTGGTTTGGTTTTAGAATGTTCTTTACTAAAATACGCAAATTGTACGGTGCGCTAACTTTTTGCGCCGTTTTTTCACTTCCTAACTTTCTTTTTTTAAAAATCGAAGTCTACAGAAGACGAAGCAGAGTCTGTGAGAAAACATAAACTTTCAAGTCAGGTAATCGTTTTTATACTTTTGTCGATCTTTGGTTGTTTTAGAGCAAAGCTATGCCACAAAATTCCAAAGTCTTGCGCAAACCACAACACACTAAGGATAGCGATGAATCGCGAAAGGATTCATCGAAAAGACTTCCGCCACCACCCAAGGTCTGATAAAATGTTTCTTCTTTTTAAAGCTTGCTTTAGAAACAACTTGAAAGAAGAGTTGTTACGTTGAACGAGGAAAGTAATGACGAGCAAGAAACTACGATAACCGTAAGTACTTTATTCTTTATCAAACTAATCTTTAGTACATATAGAACGCTGCTACTCTTCGGAAGGCTACAAAACAAGCTGCGAAACACCGAAAAAAGAATCGAAAGGTCAATTTAGATAATACGTAAATCGTTTACCTATCCTTTTTAGCTTTCCGACTTGAATGATGAAGATGATGTCGATTTTAATGCTAGCGAAGATTCCGTTGAAAGCGATAGCGAGGACGAAAGCGATAGCGTATTATTTTTATTGAGGCGAGTTTATAGCAAGTGTTGCAGGATGATGATCAACTAACACGATCTGAAAACCGAATGCAACGAGAGTGCGTTCGATTTTTCAACACGGCATCGCATGATGAGCTGTTGCTAGCACCGCGGATGAACGGAAAACTGGCTGAATTTCTTTTGGCAAATCGACCTTTTGATACGTTTCAAGAATTGGTTAGTTTATGTAAACAAACTGGCGTTAATTTAAACTTTTAGGAAGAAACTCTCCCATTGCAGAGGGGTAGAAAGTCATTGCTTGAGTTTTGCATGGAATATCTGGAGAATCGTGATGTTTTGAATCTCATTCTTAACGACTGTAAAGGAGATTCGGCTAAGGTAATTAAGTCTAAACTAACTGCAAAATGTAATTTTTTTGAGGTTGCTGCGGAGTTTAAATATTATCGAGATAGTCAAAATATTCCTGATTTGCTCGACAAGAGGTGTTCATTCTTATGGTATCTAGATATTTAATTGCTGTATTTAGTATGTCCCTACACAATTATCAGAAAGAGGGCTTGAATTGGCTGGTGATGATGCACGAGAAAAAGTTGAACTGCATTCTCGGAGACGAAATGGTCCTTTAGTCTGCATTTTTCAGAATCTTCGACTATATTTTAGGGTCTTGGAAAAACAATTCAAATCGTTGCATTTCTTGCTTGGCTCAAAGAGAAGAAAGTTCCCGGTCCGCACCTTATTATCGTTCCAGCATCAACTATTGAAAACTGGATGAATGAAATGAGCAAATGGTGTCCTGGCATCAAAGTAAGAACTTGCTTTAGACAATGTAACTTTTGTCAGATGATTACCTATTACGGATCGCAAGAGGAACGCCGTAGCATTCGTCACATGGCCAGGAAGAAGAAAACGAATGTTTGGTCATCTAGCTCTTTATTTAATCATTCTTTTAGGTTGATGTTCTGCTTTCAACATATAGCATGGTTGTATCCAAATCGGACGACAAGAACTTTTTCAAAAACTTCAAGGTTGTTAGACTTCTTGTCTTTTATATTTATGTGTCAGTTTAGATCAATTACGTCGTTTATGATGAGGGGCATATGCTGAAAAATTGTTCGACTGAACGCTACAAGTCTTTGATGAAAATCAAAGTGGGGCTTCTTCCCATTTACTTAAATTCGTTTTCAGAGTAGCCGGAAGATTCTACTTACTGGAACACCACTCCAAAATAACTTGACTGAACTGATCTCGCTGATGTATTTTGTGATGAGGAAAATCTTTGATCGTTATTGTGACAACATGGCACAGCTGCTTTCTCATTTTAAGCCGGTAGGACATTTTACATATTATTGGCAAATTAGATAACTTGTAATATTTGGGAAGGACCTCAAATTGATTATGTATTTTCAGCAAAAAGGAAGCGCTATCGAAGGCACGCAAGCTCTCTATCAACAAGATCGTATTGAACAGGCGAAAGCAATTCTCGAGCCTTATATTTTGCGTCGTCTAAAGCACCAAGTCTGCTTCCATTTATTGATGTTAGGCAATATTTATGCAGGTTTTGAATCAATTGCCAAAGAAGACTGAAGAAGTTGCTACAATAAACATGGAAGCAGAACAGGCGGATATCTATGATTATCAGTTAGAGGTATTGATGCCCAAATTTTAGATTTATCTTTTTTAGTTGCTTCAAATGGCTGGTGATAGTTCTTCAACCGCGTCGTCAAGCGTTATCCGTTTACGTCAAGTATATTTTCTTGTATACATTAGCAAACCAGGAAATTTAGGCTGCAAATCATCCACTGCTGACACGCCGAATTTTTGATGATGATACTTGCGCCGAAGTTGCCAAAAAATTAGTTCGACAGGTGGATGACGTATACAAATACTTGCTTGTACCATGGTTTCAGGAGAAAGAATATGCGAAGAAACGAGCTGAACATGTCGCCGAAGATCTTCTTTGCCTGTCGGACTATCAAATACATAAGATCTGCAAAAAGGTTTTGTCAATTTTGTCTTCTTACATATCCATTTTTTAGTTTCCATCAACTTCAAAATTTTGCATCGATGATAGTGTAGCAATCGAAAGTGGCAAGTGTAAATTCTTGGATCAAAGGCTGCCCCTAATCAAAACAAAGGTTTTTATTGTTTTGGCTTCATGACTTCCTGGCTTTAATTATTTAGGGCGATAAAGTCTTGATTTTTTCGCAGTTTACTCAAATGCTTGACATTTTGGAGGTTTACTTACGGGTTCGAGGTCATTCATTTTGCCGAATGGATGGAAGCACCCCAGTTATGGAAAGGTTCGTTCAAATATTAGTAAAAGAGTTTGAATGTTTCTATTTAGGCAGGGTATGATCAATTCTTTTAACAACGATCCGTCGCTTTTTGTTTTTCTGCTGTCGACACGTGCGGGAGGACTTGGTATCAATTTAACTTCAGCCAATCATATTTTTATCCACGATATCGACTTCAATCCTTATAATGACAAACAGGTATATCTTTTTCAATTAGGACTCTGCCAGTACACTTTATAAACGTTGATGTTTGTAGGCTGAAGATCGTTGTCATCGTATGGGACAGGAAAAACCGGTGCATGTCGTTCGCATGATCTCTAAAGGTTTGATTTTGACAAAATTTAAAATTCGATCTGCTTAGGAACCATTGAGGAAGGAATCGCCAGATTGGCTAAGCGTAAATTACAACTGGAGAAAGAGGTGACTATAGGAACGCGTGGTGCCAGTCAAGCCGGTAAGTTTTGGTTAGCGATTAAATAGTTATGTTTTTATAATGTTGTTTTGTCCACATTAAATCTTTGTAGATGATTCCCTTGGCTACCAACAAAGAAGGTGAAAGTGAGACAGAACTTGAAGCTGACGTATTGGCCGAGTTGATGAAGCAAGTGGTGCAAGTGAAAAGCGAACACCACCAAAGAAACAAAGAAGCGGCAGGATAACCAGAACAAACATTGAAGTTTTGTGTTTTTGCCATTTGCTTTTTGCTTTTCAATCATCTTTATGATCTCCTGGCCGTTTATCTATGTGCTATGAATAATGTTGTATAATATTAAATTATGGAAAACTGCATGCTTGTGATAATTTTGATTGTTAATCGGAAATGATTCTGTAGATTTTGGGCATTAATTTTGTTTTGTATTGTTCTCTTGTAACATGCATGCTAACATTTGTGACTTTGTGTAAGATAAAGGTTCTAAATTTATGCCGCATTATCAGGAATCAATTAGAGCTAGCTGGTAGGCGACGAGGGAATCGATTTATAGATTGTTGGGACAAGATTTTCTTTTGATCAAAAGCTTGTCTGGTTCTTTAAAAACAAACACCGCCTTGAGCTAAAATAGACATCAAAAGTTGGGAAGCTTCATCCCATCAGTCCCTAAGGCGTAACAAGTTTCCCCAAACACTCGCTTTTTGATCAACAAATTCAAATTAAAAGCTCAGAATGCCAATGGGCAACTTTCCCTTCGTAAATCCCATAATGTAAATATGATTATGTGATGGTGATGGCTTCCTCCAGTGTCGTTCATACTAATCAATGAAAAGAGTCAAAAAAGAGACATTTTTGAGTTCATTTGTGCTCGTGTTTACCAAATCTTTTCACCTCATTCCATTCCCTTTCTTTTCACCAAATTCCTCTTTTTTGTATGCCAATTTCCGGTTGCTTTCCTCCCTTTGAAGAAAGGGATGCTGAAAAAAATTCGTACCAAGATTTTTAAAAAATCATTTTAGAAATCGAAAGAAATTTATCGCTTGTCAAAGTTAAATACAAAATCTTGAGAATCAAAAGAAAGAGCTTCACTTTTCGCGCTTCTTTAGTTGCAGTGCTCCTTCTCGTTGTGAACCTGAAAAGTTGGATTTGAAGATGACTTCAGCTTGGCTTCATTTAAAAGTTGGCATTGTTTAAAAAGCTTACGGTAGGATCAAGCGACAAATAGGAGATATCATAGACACCGTTGTCGATGTATTCACGAGGGACATCGTATTCGCTGGCACGGGAGCAGCCCTGGAAAAGTTGTTGAAGCGAAAAGATTTGTCTATATCTTAAATTTGAAAAGTATTCCGTCTAAGAAGTTTTATTTTGATACTATACTCAGAAAACTTTTCCCAACTTACGTGTCTCGCCTTGCAGTGATGAGTGACGCGGATGAAAGGCTCGATTTTGGACACCTGGAATTAGCGATTTGATTTGGCTAAACTTTATCAGACTATGATATCAACTATGATAGCTTTTAATATTTCAAAATATCTAATCAAGGCCAACCTCACTTTCCCCACCGGTGATCTGAAAATAGCCGCTGTGATCGGAGTAGACGGTGGCGAGGAGATCGTTTGGATCAACAGAAAAATGGGATATGAGTTTGAAAATAATGAAAATGAATTCAAAAATAATGAAAATGAATTCAATATATCTATTGGATATGCAAATTTTTCAGTTTAATAGTTCAAAACTTTCAAAACGAACAAGTGTCTCGATCCCAGAGCTCGACTTTCGCATTTGCCCATCGTTCTCGATTGCATATCAGTGTTCCCTAAAGAGTTATCTAAAAATAAGTACAATAGATGTATTATATTAAAAATTGATTGTTTATGATTGATTTGTTTATGATTGATTTGCTTTGTTCTTTAGCCTCACCCGAACGGTAACCGTTTGCATGTTGGCGGTGACGGTGGCGGCGAGGAGGGAAAAGATAAAGAGTCTCATTCTAAAAAAATTAGTTATAAGCCGAAAATTAACAATCAACACTCGATAAAGAATGCAATATTCTAAACAATAAAGAATGCAATATTTTGAGTTATCCAATTAATAAATGTAAGAAATTCGGTGAAACGAATTGATTCTCAAGACTCGACTCAAGTGACTCAATCGGCAGCTGATCCTTGTTTTTGTTTCTAGAGGAAAAGCCCTTATTGAATGACCCAAACAGCGGTCACCATAAAAACAACAAGTCGATCACATTGATCAAAGTTTTTCTCAGGTCGTGGAAAACTGATCGTTTCAGTTTAAGCTTTGAAACATTTGGTTACAAGTTGAAGTTGGACTAAACTAAAAGACAAATAGGAAAAGTACCCGGATTCTGAACATTTAAAGATTTTTGGGTGTTATACATTCACAAAAGCCATCTTATAGTTAGATAGAATTGTATTTCGCAACCTTTTCCAAGTACTTTTAAGTCTCAAGCGTCAGGCGATGAGAGACTCTCAGATATCGCCGAATATTTGGCTGCTCTTGTTTTGGTTTCTTGTTTTTAGTGAAAGTCTCGAAAGCTGAACAAAAGTACTCATTGAAAATTTAGGTGTACTGTAGTCAGGGCACGGGAATTGTTACTATTTATTGTGCCAACGGCAAAGTTCAGTGTACATTCTTATTTAGCACTCAAGGTACCGTATCCCAGTTAAACTCCTCTAATTGTCACAATCGCTCTCGTCATTCCTCTCGAAAATTTTGTTCAGAACGGTCATTGACTCTCGGTGTTCGTACATTTAACAAGTTAGACTTAGCTTTCAAAAATTTTAGCGTGGTTTGACTCAACAATTGCTTATCCAATCGATTTCCCGGTGAAAAGGCGGGTAAAACTCCGCATAGAAACGTTTTTTGAACATATTTTGATAGCGTATGCGATTCCTTTTTCGCCTCTTTTCCTTTCTTGTCAATTTCCCCCTTTTTTTTCCTTTCAGACGGGGCATTTCTCGTTTGAAATGCGGTGAATCATTGACCGATAGGAAATCACGAGAAATGCAAAAAATTATAAATTTTACCCCGATTCTTTCCTTTTTACTCTAGGAAACAAAGTGTTTTGCAGATTTTAAAAATTAAAGTCAAAATTTAAGGCGTATTTCATTAATTTTCTTCAAGACGCTTTAAACTATATCTTTTATTGTTATTAACGCTCTTTTTTTTTAGTTAAAATGACATCAAACGAGGTGGAAAATGAAACGGAAACGGTGGTCAAAAAGGAGAATTTGCCCTATGGAGTCGAGTACGCGAAAACTGGAAGAAGTTCGTGCAAGAAATGCAAGGAAATCATACCACAGGTTTGTTTTGATGCGTTAAAACTTTTACTACTGTGAAAAGTGACATAAAGCTTAGGCAAACTGAGAGAGCACAAAATGTGATAATAGTTACCGATACCAGGAAGTACCAATCTAAATTCATTTTAACATGTTCAGCCACTATTTTTTCACTTTAGGGCCACACTCGAATGGCCATCCGTCAGCCAAGCCAATTCTTCGATGGTCTACAAGATAATTGGTTGGTTTGTGGTGAAAATCTAACTTAATTAGTACAAAAGGGCTTTTTTTTTAAAATTGTTTGCATTTGCATCTTTCTAGGCATCACTACGCGTGCTTCTGGCGAGCCATCAAATCGAATCCGATCAACGAGCGCTCAATTCGCGGAGTGGATTGGCTTAAATGGGAGGATCAACAGAAGATTCGGTAAAGTTGTGCTTTTAAAAGCTATCTTATTTGCTTTTTTTAGTGAGTCGATCAAGAAACACATGGAGACGGTGGATGGAGGAAGCTCATCGGGACAAACGACGACAGCAAGTAACAGTCTCGTGCAACTCGCACAGGCAAAAGTCGAGTATTCGAAGACAAACAGGTTGGAATTTGATACTTATGCCGAATGTTTTACGCGTAAAACACAAAAAAAAGCGTTGGTATTTTAAAATCTAAGGGTGCATTCTATGGAAAATCTTTGCATTGCTAATGAAAAATCCAACGGAAAATGAAGACTCTGAGTGAGTTATTGCTTTGCTGCTCAATTTTTTTGGCCCGAAGAAATTTTCAATTTATTGCATGCCTTTGTTGCTTCATTTTAGGGGCAAATGTGTTGCTTGCCAAGGATCGATTGAGCAAGGAGTGATGAAGTATGGATGGAAGAGCAAGTTCTACCATTTCGAATGCTTCTTCGTGGTGACCACGGAATTTCAGGGGGAAATCGACGATTTGCAGGTGTTTTTTGGTTTATTTAACGTTTATTATAGGTTTAGGCTTAGGCTTAGGCACATAACCATATATTAAGGCCGTGGGACTTATAACCCCTAAGTACCATCAACTTTTCTACTCCATTCTTTAGGGTTTCCAAAATATGACTGAAACCGATCAAACGATGCTACGAGACGCTTTTGAAGTGATTCACCAATCGACGCAACTTGTTAAGGTATGATTTTCCAGAGACATTGGTTTAAGAAGCTGAGAAGATTTCGAATGCATCTTCGTGGCTATCAGAGAATTTCAAGGGAAAATTTAAGTTGCACAAAATAATTATTTTAATTGTTTGCTTAGGACGCTGAATTGGCTGGAGATTTGCAACAACGCGAAGCAGACGAGAATGGACCAGCAAAGAAACGAAAGAAAGTGACCAAGACGCCCGATGACCTGAGAGACGAGAGATTGCAGGTATAAATAAGAAAAGTTTTAAGAGATCTAGAAATTGAAAATAAGGCTTCTAAAAGTGATACTTTTTATGATTTGTGGTCACACACTTGCACACATTTTTCATAGAATTTCTAATTTTCCTTTCATTTAGAAACAAGCCGACTTGTTGTGGCAGCTGCGAAGCGGCTTCGCGAAGTGGCTCTCTAAAGATCAATGGTGCCGCCTCTTGGAAACGAATGGACTCGATGTACCGCAAGGAGGGCCGGATAAGGTAATTGGAGCTGAGATTTTTTTGTCTCTTGGCAACTTGCTCAAGATTCTAGATCCATGAGCATTCGTTTAGATTCTCGACCTGCTCACCGATGCTGCACTATTTGGGCGACCGCTTCGATGTGAGAAATGCTTGCAGGGACAACTCTTTTACAGGTTTCTTTTCACGGTGAAAGCTTCAGATTTAATCTTTCTTAGTACATCATCGCAAACATACCTCTGTACGGGACATCTGAGCGAGTGGACAAAGTGTACGGTGGCCGCGCGAAAGCCGAAACGATTGCCGTTTGGAGTGCCAAAAGATTTGAGTGCCGAGATTCCGTGGTTGATCGACGAAGCACCGTTGAATGTAAGAGATACATTATAATAGTAGACTTCTCTGAAACATGAAATAGTAAGAAACCCTAATAAACCCGAAACTAGCCCTAGTCATTTTAAAAGAAATATGCGTCCTTGTTTTTCAGGAACTCTCTGAGCGTTATTACAATGATAAACAAGAGGAGATTGTGAGGTGAGAAAATGTTCTAGAGAAGGATCAAATTCTGATTTAGTTCTAAGCGGACTTACCGCAACCGGGCAAGTACAGGTGGTGCAGATTTGGAGGCAGGAGACAAAATACGGGGTTAGATCACTTAATAGCACAGTACTTGTTTCTCTAGGTCGGGCAGACGTTGGCAAGGCGTACATCAAGAAGGGCACAACGGTGGATGCGGAATTTGAAAAGGCGGCCATCAGTCACGTGTGCAAGGATGATGAGGGTGAGGATTATTAGACAGGCTAATGATTAACTGTTTCTCAAAATTTTGTCCAGAACCTATAAGATTTCGGTTTTGAGGGAATCTCTACTCAGCGGCGCTTGTCGAGGCGGATATGGCCACAGGGCGAAACAGTTACTACAAGTTACAATTGTTGAAACACGATACAGCAAATATGTAAGCTAGTTATGAAAACTTGCGGATGCAACAAATTTTTTAGCTTCTGGGTTTTCCGCTCGTGGGGACGCATCGGCACAACGCAAGGTGGCATCAAAACTGAGGAATTTCGATCGATGAAAGCCAGGGTGGCTGGATTTGAAGCGTAAGTTGAAATTGAAAGACCTTAAACCGGATTCTATCTATTTAGTGTTTTCCTCGAAAAGACCCAAAACGAGTGGCGAGATCGGAAATATTTCCGAAAGAAGGCCGGTGGCATGAATTGGATCGAAACAGACACGAGTGATGCGGTGAGTTGCAAGGAGAGGTTAAGGAACGTCTGTGTAGATGAGTAAATGATTCGAACCCAGTTTCAAAGTTTTCTGAAGCTTTCAGATTTGATTTTCCTTTTTTTACAGGCGAATGTCGAAGGAAATGTCATCCCGGGCAGTAAGACCGATTTGCCGAAACCGATCGTCGAAATTATGAAGATGATTTTCGACGTGAGCACAATGCAGGCCGCTTTGAAAGAATATAATGTGAGTGATCCACTTAATTTGCATCATTTATAACCTGTGAACTTTAGATTGACACGGAGAAGATGCCGCTCGGAAAGTTGTCCAAATCGCAGATCACCAAGGCGTACACCGTGTTACAGGAGTTACTTGAGGTAAAAAATGGTTACAATAAAGCTGTCAAAAATATAAAAAAATAAAAAAGTAGATGACTTAATTATGGTAATCTTTTCGTTAGATTAAAGCCAAATGGCTGACCCGAAATTTTGAGTTTATAACAACCCTGTTCATAGAAAGATACCCTTTTAAAACTCTTGCTTTTCCAATAGATACTTGTTTATTTTAGCTCATCTCCGGCAAGGGCGCGGCGCGAAAAGATGAAATCCTTGATGCGTCGAACCGTTTCTACACCATCATCCCGCACAACACTCAACTCAAAATGTTGGACAATCCATCAGTGATCAAGGTTGGATAATGATTTTAAAAGAAGCATTTATTCGGCTGTTTTCAGAAAAAGACGGCCATGCTAGACTCGTTGCTGGAGATCATTGAGGCGTTTGCGATGGTGAAAAACAATCCAAATGATGAGGAGGAAAACGCGGAACGAGATCCTGTTGATGTGAATTATGAGAAGCTGAAGACGAAAATGACGGTGGGGAGTTTTAACTCTATGTATGTGTATATGTGGTCTTTATTCAGGTACTAGACAAATCGTCGGCCGAGTACAAACTGTTGGTGGATTATGCGAAGAAAACTCATGGACAAACACATAAACAATTGAAAGTCGACATCATTGATGTAAGTTTGCTTTAAGAAAGTCTTTAGCACTGTACTACACTATAAAAATCCTGGAAACTAGCCCTCAAAGATGCCAAAAGTTAGTACTGACTCATTTTTCCTTTATTCAGATCATCAAAATCGAACGCGAAGGTGAGGAGGCAAAATTCAAGAAGCAAGTCGGAAATCGAATGTTGTTGTGGCACGGATCGGGTACACCGAATTACGGAGGAATTTTGTCGCAAGGACTACGAATTGCACCACCCGAGGCACCAGTGGTGAGCATTGGCTTTCTAGCTCTGAAATTCTAAAGGTGGACCTAGCATGTACCGAACATTCGTTAAAATATCCTGGTAATAACATTTATGATATAAAGCTTTTTCTTTTAGAGTGGCTACATGTTCGGCAAAGGTGTTTACTTTGCTGACATGTTCTCGAAATCGGCCAACTATTGTCGAGCGCACAACGGAGAGGGATTACTTCTGTTAGCCGATGTGGCATTAGGGAAGGTTTGGATTTTAAAATGTACTATCGCAAAAATCATTGTTCAGATCAAAGAAGAGCCAATGTCGATCACGCACACGGCCGCCACTATGACCAAGAATAAGACAAATTCGTGCAGGGGTGAGTGTACTTTAAAATTTGCTCCAGACGTTTCACGTTTTATAGGAATTAGGATTGAATATTGTTTTTGAATTTTCTAATCATTTACCAATCTTTCTTTTTAGGTATTGGTGGAACGATTCCCGACCCGTCGACTCATGTGAATGACGCGAGTGGATACGTGATTCCGGTGGGAAAACCCATCGCTCGAGAAACAACCCGTGATGGAAAACCACAAATGCCATCACTTCTTTACAACGAGTGAGTTTTGCCGAGCTTTCTACTGCGCGATGCAAAGCAAATCACCGAATCATTATCCATTATTAGGTATATTTTATTTTTTTATTTCTAGGTACATTGTGTACGATGTCGATCAGATTTGCCTGCGCTACCTGGTTCGGGGAGCATTCCGGTGAAACTCCCCTTCTAAATGAATCAACGCTTTCACTGTAACTTTTGGATATTTTTCTTTCAATGAAATTTCTAAATGTCTCTACAATTTCTTCATATTATGGGCCTCATTTGATCTCTTTCTCTGCGAAAACAAGTAGCTTTTTGTGTTGTATCACTTTTGTTGTAAATTGCCCCGATTCATTTTTGGTTAGTTGAATTTGTTCTGAATTTCACCCAATTCTCTTTAGTTTGACTCTGCATTGTGTAATTACCGATGTTTTTTCGGCAAAGTTCAAATTTCCCCCTTGTTCTCTTATCTTTTTTCATTACTGGTGATTTCCCGTTTGCTCTCTTTTTTTTTCTTATACATCTATATTCATTTGTTTGTTTGCTTTAATCAGTTAACGCTTGACGCTTTATAGCCGAGTTTAGAGGATAGGATTTCTAAAATACATTTTTCTCGAAAGAATGCCTGATATTTTTTGGAGATTTTGCAAACGAATTATGGACTTGTGCGCTAACTTATGACTTGTGAATTTTCTCTTACAAAGAGTTCAGGATTTATTTTTAGATATAATATGACATTAAAGACTGGTGATGAAGAGGATCTATTGCGGTCATTTCTTGGAGGGCAGCTCGTCTTTAGCTGCACTTCTCCTTCTCCTTGTGCACCTGAAATGAAATTTAAAAAAATATTTTAATCAGTGCTTATTTTTAAAACATACTAGCTTAAAAATAAACAATAATTATATTTTAGCTTTCTATCTAAACCCACGGCGATATCGAGAGTCACATAGGTCATATCGTAGATTCCGCTGTCGATGAACGATTGGGGGACCTCGTAGTCGCCGATTCGCTTGCATCCCTGGGAAAAGTAGATTAAGGTGAAATTTTATGTGTTACCTAATAGTATTTCGATCAAAACACACTAATTCTATCAAAAAATAGCTTACTGGCTTGGTGTTGCACGAGTGGGTGAGTCGGATGAAGGGCTCGATCTTGCCGACCTGGAATCTTTGGGTCAAGAAAGGTTTTCTAGGCTACTCATGTGATTTATTATCCTTGAATCCTTGAATATAGTTTCATATTTCACTTAGTAGATTTGTTTGTAAAGTAGAATCGTAGCGGTGAAAAACTTTCAACGTTCAACTTTTTTGACTCTAGCGTTTAGAAATGTAGTCACTTTGGCATACTGTAGCTATTTTCTGTGCTCACTGTAGCTTTGCATTAAACTTTACAATTAGAAATCTTTTTGATTGGTAGCTAGTGGGCTTACTATATGATATATTGTCTATTCTCACCCACCTCATCTTCTCCTCCGCTGATCTCGAACTCTCCGTCGGTGTTGGTGACAACGGTGGCGAGGAGATCATTTGGATCCACTGGGAAATCATTTTCAAGACAATTTTACAATGATCACAGAGATTTGGTGAGACTAGTGAGACGTTTTTCCTCAAATACTTACAAGTATCGCGATCGTAGAGCTCAACTTTCACATCGTGCGCTCGCTTCTTGTTGCAAATGGTGGTTCCCTGGAATTTGATTACGATTGTGGAAAGTTGAAATGAGAAATTTGATTTGATTTGTCGATTTCTAACTACAGTACACTTGGCTTCACTCAATGGAAAGACAAAGACTTTGAAGACTTTAGTTAGCCGGGGGGAGGGGTTGTTTACTTTTCAGCGTAAAGTGCACACTTTTGATTTGACAGCCACCGTCTTGCGTTTAAAGTACAATTTATAACAAGTGATGGTTACGATACTAAAGTACAGTACGTGTAAATATTGGCGATACTTTGCGCCGAATTTTTGCGTTTCCGATAAAGTACTGTGATGCTGGTTATGCTAAAGTGCTAAAGTGCTGTTGATACTAAAGTACTAAAGTACGATAAAGTACTGCTGGTTATACTAAAGTACTAAAGTACAGTACGCAAAAGTAGTGTAAATATTGGGGTTACTTTGCGCCGAATTTTTTTGCCTTTCCGATAACTTTCTTCTAAATCGGATAAAACTTTGTTTTTGATGATTTTGATGTGATTTTGTTGCACTTTTTGAGAGGAAATTGAGTTTTTTGTTATAAATTATAGATCTAAAGTATTAAATCGAAGACATTAGATCTAAAATATTAGATCTAAAATATAGATCTAAGATATAGATCTAAAATATAGATCTAAAATATTAGAGTTTCTTTATATCATTAGAGATATCTTTATATCATTAGAGATCTAGATCTTTAGATCTTTATATTAAAGGCCAACCTTGACACGAATCTCTTGATATTTTCCCGAAACAGCAATGAGAACGCCGGCGAGGAGACACAACGACAAGTAGGCTTTCATCTGAAAAGGAAATTTATTTCATAAACATATTTACACGTTTGAAAAGCAATAACAGAAGTTATCTGAAGAAAAATGAAATCACAAAGAATTGTAGAGAAAACTGGAATTGAAGAAAGGGGAATTTGTAGGGGAATTTGTTAAAAATTTTCTTTTATCAGCAACGCTCTTTCTCGCCGGAAACCTGAAAAATTGAGTGATTTATCGAATTTAACTTGTTCTTTGAGTCAAATCTTACAAAATCTTACAAATCTATCAAAATCTTACAATGATATCGAGTGTCACATAGGTCATATCGTAAATGCCATCGATTTTATCCTGAGGAACCACATAGTCGCCGACTCGTTGACATCCCTAAAAATTTTGGCCTAGAAAATAAAACTCTTATTACTAAGCCAGATAGCTTATTGAAGCTTATTGAAGCTTATTGAAGCTTATTGAAGCTTATTGAAGCTTATTGAAGCTTATTGAAGCTTATTGAAGCTTATTGAAGCTTATTGAAGCTTATTGAAGCTTATTGAAGCTTATTGAAGCTTATTGAAGCTTATTGAAGCTTATTCAGAGCTTGAGCCAGATAGCTCAAGGTTTTTCAAGCTACAGTTATTTAGAATTCATTCATTTATAATATAGAACACTCCTGATGCCAATCATTTCAAATTAAGTGCACTAGAAAGTTTCTGGATGTTTCCGCTTTTAACTCAAAAGCTTGCTTACCCAGCTTACCCAGCTTACCCAGCTTACCCAGCTTACCCAGCTTACCCAGCTTACCCAGCTTACCCAGCTTACCCAGCTTACCCAGCTTACCCAGCTTACCCAGCTTACCCAGCTTACCCAGCTTACCCAGCTTACCCAGCTTACCCAGCTTACCCAGCTTACCCAGCTTACCCAGCTTACCCAGCTTACCCAGCTTACCCAGCTTACCCAGCTTACCCAGCTTACCCAGCTTACCCAGCTTACCCAGCTTACCCAGCTTACCCAGCTTACCCAGCTTACCCAGCTCTTTTCTTTGTCTTTTAATGAGCTGACAAAATTGCTTCCTAGATTTCTACCTTATTGGCGTGGCAACTGTGTGTGATCCGGATGAAGGGCTCGATTTTGCCAACCTGCAAAGAGATTTTCGCTTTTAATAGAGAATTCGAAAGTCTTATAAGTTAAAGTTTTAAGGAGAAATGATAAGAAATTAAATTTTAAGCATCTCTGCTTTGTTCTGAATCAATCAGAGCAAAACAAAGACAGCTTTTCGAGCTAGAACTTGACACAGAAGCCAGACCAGGGCTTGGACCCTGGCTTCTTGGCGGCCTACTGTAGCTTACAATCATTAGCTCCTAGCTTGTAGCTTATAGACAGTTGAAATTTCTCAGATATCCGAACCTCATCTTCTCCTCCCGTGATCGTGAACTCTCCCTCCGAAGTCGTGTAGATTGTGGAGAGGAGATCATTTGGATCGACTGGAAATTGGAATGGTGCAATGTTACAACCATAGGAACTTTCTTTTAATACTTATCTAAGAAAAACTCACGTGTATCCCTATCCCATAACTCAACTTTGACATTCGCTTGGCGTTTCTTCTGACAAACGGTGATTCCCTGAAAGAAAAGTTTGCTACAATAGTGTTTTCCAAAGTTTTTGACTGAAGGCTTTTCGATATCATGTCAACTCTTGAAACTACCGTAATCTTGACTCTAGTTTTGACCTAAACTATCATAATCTAGACTCTAGTGACTCTATCGTTTACCCAAACTGCCGTAATTCAACCGCCAGTTTATCGATGAGTCTAATGTTTGGTTTTCCAAAGCTTTTGACTGAAGCTTTTCGATATGATGTCAACTCGGCAGTTTGGGTAATGATAGAGTCTAATTAGTGATCACTAGATCACTAGAGTCACTAGATCACTAGAGTCACTAGATCACTAGAGTCACTAGATCACTAGATCACTAGAGTCACTAGATCACAATCACTAGAGTCTAGATTACGATAGTTTAGGTCAAAACTAGAGTGTGCCATTGACTTAACCTTGTAATTCTTCATCGAATGGTATCAAAATTGGGGATTTTTCGTAAACTAGCGGGATGATTACAGTAGTTTAGAAAACGCTTTAGTCAAGAGTGCATTGTTTCTTTCAAATCTTTAAAGTTGATTCTTTAAAATCACTCACCGTTACCGTAACATTTTGCATTTTTGCCGAAACCGCTGCAAACACCGTAGCCAAGAGGCAAAACGAGATGAGTGAGCGCATCTCTCTCAAAAGCCATTTTGCGAACAAAAAGAGAACAAAAATGTTTTATCACTGAAGTTATATAGTGGAAAAATAGAAGGAAAGTTTGGTGAAACGATTTGTAAACAATTTCAGTTTATAATTGAAATTTTAGAGATGAGACAAAGACAAAAAATTCTCTGAGATTCTAGCCTTTTTTTCCCCTTTTTTTGATGTAAACAGAGATCGGGGTTTGGAAGGGGAAAGCTTTTGAGCTTTGAAAATGCATTTTGTTTTCATTTTCATTTTTTTTTCAATGATCCGAGAAAGATTAGCTTTAAAATGATCGAAAAATCATCGAAATTCAATTCTTTAAGTGAAGCTTTGTGGGAAATTATAAACGCACTTTCTCTGGCACAATGAAGAGCACTTCATTTTCTCAGAATTACATGAGAAAATGGAGAACTCAATGTATTCAATGCGTTTAACACAAAGTACACAAGCTCTTGGCTTGTGTACTTTGTGTAGCACAAGCTCTTAGCTCTTAGCAGCTCAAGCTTGTGTACTTTGTGTAGCACAAGCTCAAGCTTAGTGCTGCTTGTAAACACTCCCTTTCTGCCGCATTTCATCATTGATTTCCACTTAAACCTAATCCTAATCCTGAGCCATTTTTCAGAGTTCCCTTCTTCAACTCGCAATCCAAATATGTTTTTATAAAAATTTCAATGATGTCTTTAGAAATTACGTAATATTTCCAAAGTCCGTTTCACATAACATTGCGTCTAAGGGTTAGAAGCCCTGCGGTCTTAATACGTGGTTCTGTGTCTAAACCTAAGCCTATAACCATTTATAAGGTAATGGATTTATGCAAACTTTTAAATGTAATTTTTTGCGGGATCTATACCCATATATGAGGGCTGCGGGGCACATAACCACATATCAAGACCGCCGGGCTTATAACCTCTTAAGTACCAAGTTGATTTATAATAAACGTTAAATAAACTAAAACGCACCTGCAAATCGTCAATTTCCCCCTGAAATTCCGTGGTCACCACGAAGAAGCATTCGAAATGGTAGAACTTGCTCTTCCATCCATACTTCATCACTCCTTGCTCAATCGATCCTTGGCAAGCAACACATTTGCCCCTAAAATGAAGCAATAAAGGCATGCAATAAATTGAAAATTTCTTAGGGGGGAAAAAAATGAGCAGCAAAGCAATAACTCACTCAGAGTCTTCATTTTCCGTTGAATTTTTCATTAGCAATGCAAAGATTTTCCATAGAATGCACCCTTAGATTTTAAAGTACCAACGCTTTTTTTGTGTTTTACGGGTAAAACATTCGGCATAAGTATCAAATTCCAACCTGTTTGTCTTCGAATACTCGACTTTTGCCTGTGCGAGTTGCACGAGACTGTTACTTGCTGTCGTCGTTGGTCCCGATGAGCTTCCTCCATCCACCGTCTCCATGTGTTTCTTGATCGACTCACTAAAAAAACAAATAAGATCGCTTTTAAAAGCACAACTTTACCGAATCTTCTGTTGATCCTCCCATTTAAGCCAATCCACTCCGCGAATTGAGCGCTCGTTGATCGGATTCGATTTGATGGCTCGCCAGAAGCACGCGTAGTGATGCCTAGAAAGATGCAAATGCAAACAATTTTTTAAAAAAAGCCCTTTTGTACTAATTAAGTTAGATTTTCACCACAAACCAACCAATTATCTTGTAGACCATCGAAGAATTGGCTTGGCTGACGGATGGCCATTCGAGTGTGGCCCTAAAGTGAAAAAATAGTGGCTGAACATGTTAAAATGAATTTAGATTGGTACTTCCTGGTATCGGTAACTATTATCACATTTTGTGCTCTCTCAGTTTGCCTAAGCTTTATGTCACTTTTCACAGTAGTAAAAGTTTTAACGCATCAAAACAAACCTGTGGTATGATTTCCTTGCATTTCTTGCACGAACTTCTTCCAGTTTTCGCGTACTCGACTCCATAGGGCAAATTCTCCTTTTTGACCACCGTTTCCGTTTCATTTTCCACCTCGTTTGATGTCATTTTAACTAAAAAAAAGAGCGTTAATAACAATAAAAGATATAGTTTAAAGCGTCTTGAAGAAAATTAATACTAAAAGAAAGATTTCAATGCACTAGAGAGAATGCGTTTGCATTCTTTAAGCGTTAAGCGCAAAGTACATAATGAAGAGATCTGATAGGCTTTCAATTGAAGAAAAAGAGAAACTAAACGCACTTCTGACAAACAACAACAGCTTTAGAGAGCTTTAGAGAGTTTAGTTTTCCAATTTTTTCGACTAAAAGCAAAAACAATAAATCTTTGGGGTGTTTGGGATGTGAAAAGGAGAGGAAAGGGGGCTTAAATTACAGCTTAAAGTCATTAATCGAAATCTTTTCTCGAAATTCTCTCCATTGAGAAAAGCTTTGAACTTTTCGGGATAAACATAAAAATAAAAAACAATATGAGTGAGTCATTTGAAGAAGAGAGATTAAGTTGGGGAATGAGCTAAAAGTGTCTAGTGATTGATGAGTTCGGATGTAGATACGGGCAATGTGATTGCTTAAATGTTTACCGTAATAAATCTAAAAGGTTTCAATTGGCGTTCTTGAATTGTTCAATGAGTGAACTGGTTGATTCAAAAGAATTCTAAAGAATTACTTAAAATTCTGCGCCTCAAATGGTTATACCAAAAAATCATAAATAGCAAAAGTGATCTGCTTAAATCACTCAATCACTGCTTAAATCTTTTCCGTAATAAAGTTAAAAGGTTTAAATCGTCCTTGTGGCGTCCTTGTGGATCAACAAACCGATCAACAAAGTGTTTGATACAAAAGAATTCGAAGAAATTGCTTAAAGATTGAATGCGCTCTGCGCCTTGAATGGTTATACCTAAAAATGACAAATAACAAAAGTGATCTGTCAGTAAAAACACCAAATCACAGCTTGCGGTGACCCGATTTGCCTCTATCTCCGGGGATAAAGCACAGTTGAAATCTCTTTTTCACTGTGCTCTATCCCCGGGGATAGAGCACAGTAGAAATCTCTTTTTCACTGTGCTCTATCCCTGGGGATAGAGCACACTAGAAAACTGTTCTACGATGACTTTGTTCGGGGCAAAGTCCTTGTAGATTCTTCGATTATACCAAGACTTTGTCGGGGGTAAAGTTATTGTAGATTCTTCTATTCTACTGTGCTCTATAGAGCACAGTAGAAATCTTTTTTTCACTGTACTCTATCCCCGGGGATAGAGCACAGTAGAAATCTCTTTTTCACTGTGCTCTGTCGGTACCGAAAGAATCTATCTAAATCTAAATTTAAGAAATCAAAAATTGCAAAGCTTTTCTTATTTTTTCGAATTTTCACAATTAGTGAAAAGTTTTTTTGTGATGAACACACATAAATACTGTTCATTTTTCACTTTTCTCGTTTTTGAAAGGAAACCCTGTAGGTGTTGATTTTGTTGCTTGAGAAATTTTAAATCAACTTTATTGTGATCAAAACTTATAAATAACAATGATTAACAAATCAAACGACAATCAATCAATCAACAATAAACAATTATGATATTTACTCATTAATTAAAAATTAGGCTTCACTGATTTATCAAGTTTGACCTGTTGAAATGTTGAGATTAGGAACAATACGTTCTCAATAACAAAATAGAATCAATAAATTGAGCTTTTAACGAATTTTTACAAGAATGTGAACCAATGACCACTCAGTTTTAAAACGCATCAAGATTTCATAGCCTTTTAAAATCTATTTTGCTCTATGTTCCTTTGGTAATTCTACAAAACAAATGATACATCTCTAGACTCAAATTTCATGTAGATTCTAATAAAAGTAACTGCGAGTTGATTCGACCCTTAGATTTTTAATAGCAACATTATTAGAAATAATTATTTAAATTATTTATTAAATTTAAAAAAATTACAAGAATTAAATAAATCTAATCATAAATTAATTACAACCGAAACTTTCAATTTTTAAAAACCTCCACCTCCTTTATTAAAAAAATACAATCAAAATATATTTTACAGTCTCTTGGGGTATGATATTGATAGCTTGAGGACGTCTACTGACGAAGGTGCACATGTGAAGGATGCCTGCATCTAGCTGAAAGAAAAAGATGAATGCATAATTCATAAATTATACCTCCAAAGTAGGCCAATTGTCCGGGAGCGGAACCCGATTGGTTATTACCATTTACGGGATTCCTCACCTCGAAGCTCAACACCATGTGGATTTCATCCCAAATGTTCACCTATAACACAATATCAGTCTTAGAAATAAACATAATGAAAACTTACTCGGAATCCCAAATCCCAGAAAGTTTCGCGCCTGACCGTCAGGTAAGAGTAGTAAATATCAGTGGCTTAAGTTTACAATGAATGATTTCAAAGATTTAAATGAGATAAAGAAAATCTCACCATCTTGATCGATCATAAGCCAAAAGTCTTGGTACTGCCTGTTGGGTGGGATTATATAAAAACCATCAAGATCAAGAGCATGAAGGGGTTGGATAGCTACAGAACCCAAGTTGTCCGGAAACTTAAAGAAATAATATACAAAAATCTGTAAAATGTTTCATTAGGTGAAAGGTGATGCCTACTTCAATTAATAAATCTAATACAATAAACGATAGAACTAAAAAAACTAAAGCAGCTAAAACTAACACGAACGTGAATCGGTTGAGACTTATGCAAATTTCTGATCCGAATGTAAACATACTGGTGTTGAAACTTTTCAACTGTGAATTTCTAAAATGACAAAATGAACTTTAACAAGAAATATATAAAGTAAATAAACTTTACCGGATATTCAAGATTGGGGTTGAAGACATCCGATTCACCCAAAATCTCGAGCAAGAGATTACGAACCGTCATCATCCGGGGCTAAATTTTTAAATCTTTTCCTTCGATCAAGAAATTAACAGTTAAACCATAAAATCATAAGTGTGACCAAAAAAGTGTCTATTATCTTAAACTTCAAACAAAAAAACCAATGTAAAAGCGGTCAAAAGAAAGATTATAAAAAACCCACGCGAGATTGAGCTGGTAAACGTTGTTGAGACATCATGAAGAGGAGAATGAGATGATCCAAGAAACCATTGGGACGGATTTTATATCTCGCTTCAATGTAAATTTCCGAAATTTAAATGCAGATCTTATAGTATTATCACAGGCTTGTATGCAATAAAGTACTTGTTTATCGGTGTTTCGCAAATGTATTTCCTTCTAGCCCATTGAGTGTTTTATCGTCCAATTGGATATGCTAAAATAAAACCTTCTATAGAAACAGTTAATCAAGCAACAACCTTACTAATCACACTAAGCAAACACTTATCTCGACGTTGATCCTAATTTTCTCTATGTTTTTATCGGTAAGTCTACAAAATAGATTCTATATTTCTTTACTCAAATTTCATGTAGATTCTAATAAAAATAACCAGAGATTGATTTAGCTTTCACATTTTGAGTTATAAACTTTTTAAATGAATCCATTCTTTCAGTTAAGTAGTCCAGCTTTGACTGAAAAGTTCTCTATGTTTTTATATTAGAGTTTACTAAGTAAATTGTACTTTTCTATAACCAAATTTCATAAGTAACATCTTAAAACCAACTACAAGTTGATTCGACAATTAGAGGTCGAGATATGAAGGAAAAAAGCGAACTAGTTCCACTCAACCTAACAATTGTTAAAGAGAAAGAGTACCTTTTGTTAGATAACTACAAAATCTGGTGAAATGAATGTCTATCTCTCATTAGATCCGAATGAGAGGAGATTGGCTCAGGAGCTTTGAAACATTTATTTTGGAATTTTAAATTAAATTCGGTTAAGTATTTAACTCCTAGGTAACTGACTCCCAGGTAGCTAACCATTAAGTATCTAACCCTGAGTGAGGGTACTGATTCGAATCAGAGTGCTATTGGGGATGGGATTCGTGGGTACGGGATTCCTGGGGGTAGGATTAAATAACAAACTTATTAAATAAAAGATGACTACGATGGCTTTGCCACGGGCAAAGTCATCGTAGAATCGAAGAATCTACAATGACCTTGCTCCGAACAAAGTCATCGTAGAATAGTTTTCTACTGTCCTCTATCCCCGGGGATTTGTAGTACTACAAACTTTTAAGTTTGCAGTACTAAAAGCCTTTTCAATACATACTGCAAACTGCAAACTTGAAATAGGGAATCTAGGGTTTGCTTACGCTTTTTACCATATACTCACGGTAACCCTAGATTCCCACCTACAGAAATTTAGTCCAACTTTGACCGGGATTTTCTTTACGTTTTTATGCTAAAGTTACTAAGGAGATTGTGAATTTCGGGTGCAAAATTTTATAAGGAACATTTTAAGAACAACCACAAGTTGATCGGTTAACTGGAAGCGAAGCTATGTCGAAAAAAGAGAGGATACCCCGAGAAAATCTGCCTACCCCCCCTAGGCAAATGTCTTATCCAGTAGGCACTTATCCGACTTTGACCTTAATTTTATCGAGGTTTTTATTGGTAAGTCTATAAAACAAATAAAACATTTTGAAAGTCAAATATTGTGTAGATTCTAATAAAAGTAACCACTAGTTGATTGAACTATTAGATCTTGAGTTATAAGCTTTTTAATTGAACCTAGCCTTTTGGAAAAGTAGGTCAACTTTGACCTAAAATTTCTCTATGTTTTTATATTAAGGTTAACTATGTAAGCTATAGTTTTCTAAAATAGAATTTCGTTAGCTACATTTTAAAACGAACCACAAGTTGATCGGTCAACTAGAAGTGAAGATAAGTATAATTCTTGAGGATTTTACCATCCTCTCGAAAGGTATGGAGTAACGGTTAAAAAGGTAGGGTGCAACCTTTTAAAATCTATTTTGCTCTATGTTCCTTTGGTAATTCTACAAAACAAATGATACATCTCTAGACTCAAATTTCATGTAGATTCTAATAAAAGTAACTGCGAGTTGATTCGACCCTTAGATCTTGAGTTATAGATCTTTAATTGAACTTACCCTTTTAGAAAAGTAAGACAACTTTGACCAAAGATTTCCCTATGTTTTTATATTAAGGTTGACTCAGTAATCTATAGTTTTCTAAAATAGAATTTCATTAGCTACATTTTAAAACCCACCACAAGTTGATCGGTCAACTGAAAGTGAAGATAAGTAGAAATGTTGACGATGGCACCATCCTCTCAAAAAGCATAGGGTAACTTTAAAAAGGTAAGGTCCAACCCTTTAATATCTATTTTGCTCTATGATTCCTGGGTAAGTCTACAAAACCAATGATATATTTCTAGACTGAAATTTCGTGTAGATTCTAATAGAAATAACCGCTAGTTGATTCGACTATTAGATCTTGAGCTATAGACGATTTCATTAAATCACCTCTATAAAATTTATGAGATTTGATGAAAAGTGGTACTTTTTTGTAGGAAAGCCTTAATGTTAAGTGCAAATTCGGATTCTCCATCAAAAATTGAGCTTAGAAAAATGTTTTTTAGCATACTTCTTTATCTTCACTTGTCTTTAGGTCGAAAAGTCTTGTAGTGAGTCTGTCTCCTATAACTGATCTCTGCACTATATTTGCATTTACCATAGAATTGAATAAAATCTTTACTCAATTCTTAGATTCTTTCATTCTACGATGACTTTGCCCGGGGCAAAGTCATTGTAGATTGTTCCATTTTACGATGACTTTGTTCTGGGCAAGGTCATTGTAGATTCCTCGATTGTAGCAAGACTTTGCCCGGGGCAAAGTCATTGTAGATTGTTCCATTCTACGATGACTTTGTTCCGGGCAAGGTCATTGTATATTCCTCGATTGTAGCAAGACTTTGCCCGGGGCAAAGTCATTGTAGATTGTTCCATTCTACGATGGCTTTGTTCTGAGCAAGGTCATTGTAAATTTTTCCATCCTACGATGACTTTGCTCCGGGCAAAGTCATCGTAGAATAGAAGAATCTACAATGACCTTGCCCCGAGCAAAGTCTTCGTGGAATCGATCCTTAGGATCAAATCTAAGCTTGACATTAACTTAAAACAAATCAAGGGTTAACTAACAAAAAAGCATTTTTTTTACTTAATAATTGTACTAACAATTGTACGGAGCTTAGAAAAGGTCGGCATATATACAAGTCTTGATTAATCATTTTTACAGAAAGATTTAATTTAACATATTCAATTGGGCGATGAAAGACTCGATGAGTTGGCAAAAAATCCATTTGTGAAACATCGATGAACAAACACTTTATTGTATACAAGTCTGTTATAATATTATAAGATTTGCATTTAAATTTCTTAAATTTACATTGAAGCGATATATAAAATGCACCCCGATGGTTTGTTGAATCATCTCATTCCTTCGCGATGAATCAATCAGATGCAGCACTTCGGCTTCGCGTGGGTTTTTTATAATCTTTCTTTTGACCGCTTTTACATTGGTTTTTTGTTTGAAGTTTAAAATAATAGACAATTTTTGGTCACTCTTATGATTTTATGGTTCAACTGTTCGTTTCTTTATCGATGCAGAAAATTTAAAAATTTAGCCCAAGCTAATGATTGCTCGTAATCTCTGGCTCCAGATCTGGGGTGAATCGGATGTTTTCGAGCCCGATCTTCAATATCCAGTAGAGTTTAGTTTATTTTAATTTTATTTTGTCATTTTAGAGATTCACAGTTGAAAGGTTTCAACGTGTTTACATCCGACTCCAAAATTTACATGAGTCTCAACCGATTCACGTTCGTGTGGGTTTTTTTATTCTATCGTTTGTTCGATTAGATTTTTTAATTTAAGTAGATGTCATTTTTTATCTAATGAAACATTTCACATATTTCCGTATATTATTTCTTTAAGTTTGCGGACAACTTGGATTCTATAGCTACCGGACACCTTCATAATCTTGATCCTGATCGTTTTCGTATAATCCCACATAGCAACTCCCAAGACAACAACTACCAAGACTTTTCGCTTATGATCGATGCAAATAGTCAGATTTTCGTTATTTGATTTAAATCTTTGAAATCATTCATTGTAAATTTAAGATACTGGTGTTCACTATTCTTACCTAACGGTCAGGCGCGAAACTTTCTGGAATTTGGGATTGCGAGTAAGTTTTCATTATGTTTATTTCTAAAACTGATATTGTGTTATAGTTGCCCCTCTGGGATGAAATCAAAATGGTGTTGATCTTTGAGGTGAGGAATCCTGTAAAGGGTAATAACCAATCGGGTTCCATTTCGGTACAATCTGCTTACTTTGCAGGTATGATTTTGTTCTTTTTAAATTTAAATTATTAAATCTTCTTGTTAGGTGTGCCATCAGGACCTTCGACAAGTGTGATAGCTGCTCTTCCAGGAATCGAAATGTTCCAGAACCTCTGGGGATGTATTTTCGATTTTGAGAGTTATGCCTTCATCTTTTTCTTTCAGCTGGAAGCAACCCCCTACACGTGTTAACGCCATCAGACTTAAAGAGGCTCAAAAATTATTTTATATAAAAATCTTTTTGTATTGATAATAAAGGTGGTGGAGGCTTTAAAAAATTGTATCTTTGATTATCACAAAAATATATTCTTCACTATAACAAAATTATATATCCCTGCTTCTGTTAGGTTATGCGAATGTAAACCAACATTTTAGGCCTTAACAAGATTTATCTTAAAAACAGAAACAACACATTTTAATCAAAAATATATTGATCATTATTATTGATTATTTCTTGCTATCTTTGGCATAAAGAAGTGAGGTCGCTTTTTAAAAACCGAGCTGGTTGTAACTTGAGAAACTTAGAAATTTTCAATATCTTCAAGGCTTCGCCCTTCAAGGGTTAGATATCTAACCCTTAGATTTTCTATCTTTAATTAGATTAGAAAGGAAAATTAAGTGTTT